TTCTAAAGGAGTCATTTATTCTAAGATTGCACTGGGTTGTGTCTATACCATAAGGTGTGTACCGTAATTTAGCAGCAAAAATTACTGTAGAAACTGCACATGATAAACGGACGTTTTTGGTTGACTATTTTCAATGCTAGGCCAAGTTCTATGCTTGTTATAGTGGCTCTAAAGTAACTCACGTAATATGAATCCCTCTTAGAAGTTTTTTCTTCAACTTTTACCAACCTCTTTCACAATTTGTGAAAATTGTGAAATAAAGAATCCAATGTTATTAAAAGCTTTACACATTTCTAGTCCATCGTAGTTTCTCGCTCTAAGTCTGTCCTAAATTCAGCCACTCTTGTAAAATAACAATGCTGGAAAGACTTTTGATACCGATAGCCATAATTCCACGATTTTCTATATTACGATTTGTGTAAGGTCTTAACGGTTAGGAACATTTTTTTTGCTGATCGAAATTATCAGTAGCGCAAGACTTGCACTAACCTTTTCCCTGTGGATCGCAACTTTCAAATTCTTTTTCCAACTCATTAGTGAACGCACTCAGCTTCTCTTTCACTTCCCGAACGGCAGATTCTTCCACTAAACTCAATCTAAAACATAAATTTGACGGTTCCAGATTCATTTTAGACATTTTTAAGTCTTCTACCGCTCTCGTAAAGTGCTCTTCCGATGGGTCTTCGTTGCCATGTACTGCACAATATGAGGCTGTTTATTGCGCCCAATAAACTTGACATACGCACCTCGGTTGCTACCAAGTTCATAATAGTTTGAAGCTGAGAAGATTGTCAGAACGCTGAAAAAAAAGACGAAGAGTCGCAGCGTTTAGAATTGAAAGGACTTGACTATGAAGGATTTTTTTAACGCTCATTATAAGAAATTATCTCTGAGAGTTAGATATATGGTGTAATAGTAAGCAAATAGAATGGAATGAGCGGCTACACCCTTTAGTTTACAGTTTTGTACACACTACAGAATTACCTAACCAGTTAGATTTTTCTTGACAACCAAATTACTACCATGTGTGAGAGTTTTGAAGTTGGAAGTTTTAGTGCTAAGATAATCCATACGCAAGTGATAACTCCTCATTGTGCCAAGTCTCGGAAAATCACAAATTTTGCAAACAAATTGGTGAAGTGAAAGAATATTTCAGGTGTCGAAAGCAAAAAAGTCGATCGA